TCCGCAAACCGCCGAATAGACCAGGGCGGATCGCCGCCCCCACCCGCCCGGGGGGCGCCGCTGCCGTTGCCCGAGCGCCCACCGCGCATGGGGGCGCCATGGAAATTCCCGCAGGCCACCCGACGGCACGTCGGCATACTGCACTTGCGCCCCAGGAACGTCGACTGGCACTTCTGCGCGCGACGGGCGCACGGGCAGATCTGCGCCATATCTCCCTGGCCCGCGGCACGGGCACGTCGGGCGCGGCCGCGTTCTGAACCGGCAGAGCCGCGGGTTCCATGGGCCCGCGGTCCGAGTACTGCTCCGGCTGTAACGTCGGGCTTCGCTGGCTAGTTGCACGCCCGCTCGCGCTGCTTGGCACGGTCACTCCCCTGATTCGATCTCGCTCTCCGAGTCTGGAGACAACGGCCGACCCCCCGCGGCATCGCCGGCGCAGCGAGGCCCCGGGCGGGGGCAGCGCATCCACTCGAGCATCGAAGCCTAAGAGCAGCCACCAGACCAGGGCGCCCACTTTACGCAGCCCCACGGCCATGGCGCGACGGGGCGTCGCTGCTCCGTGCTCGCCGAGATCAACGATCTGCGCACGGTCGATGGCGGCGCGCTGGTCAACGTGCATTGGGCGCGCTGCCATGCACCCCGCCGCCCGATAGAGGTGCACCTGGCCGACGGCTTCCAAGTTAGCCCTCCAGGCACGGCAGGTGCAACTCAGCACCTGATCGACATGCGCTGTCAAGCCGCGCCGATCGAGGCGAGGCTTCGACGAGGCCTCCCTGGGCCCACTGCCGCACTGAAATTGCAGGATACTCGAGCCACCTGCCCGCGCTTGCGCAGCAGCAGGTGGTTCGGGGCTCGGTTTGTGCCCCGTCCGAGGACCCCCATTGTTGCAGTAAGCGGTCTCGATATCCCCGCCTACTCCGGGCCCGCGTAACCGCGCCCGCTGTAAAGCTCGCGGGGGCGACGGGGGGGTCGCCTCCGGCCCCGCGGGCCGTCGGCGGCAGCCCGCTGCAAGCTGCCCCCGCGCCCGGGCGATCCCAGCATAGCTCAGGGCCAGTGGCACCATTGCCGCGTTGATGCAGTAAGCGGCGGCGCCCAGCAGGAACGCAAACGTGGCCATCATCACGCACAGTACGGCAGTGCCCCACCAGTAGCCCTAAAGGTTCACGCCGAGGCTGTCCACCGCAGTTCCTACCCACCCCGTGCTCTGCCTGAGCGTGCCGACGCGCTCCGGCATACTTAACCAAATCCCCAACCCGCTGATCTCGAAGGTCCAAGCCGTGATCACCCAAAGCCGCGCGGTCGCGGGCTCACCAGGCCCGTCCGAGGGCGACGCACCGTGCGCAGGCGTGTCCGCCTCCTCGCAACACCACCACGTCGGCATGATCGGCAACTAGGCGCGCCAACCCTCGCTGCCTGAGCTGGGCAGCTCCACCGCTGTAGTGGGCTTGGGGCTCACTCCCGCGGAGCCCCCCTCCCCCTCCACAGCACGTCCCGTGGTGGAAATTGTAGTCGCAGTCGTGGTGGTGATAGCCGTCGCCATACCAAGATGACGCTCCTTTCCGGCGGCTGGCTGCGGGGTGAGCGCACGCCCCTTCCCAAGCCCTGTGCTCGCCTTCGCGGCTGACGGCTTCGCTCCAGGCCCCCGGTGCCCCTCGCCCTTGGCTGGGAATCGCGCCGGGGAATCGGAAGACTCTGGCGCCCGCCTTGCGGGATCGGTCGCCGACGGCGCGGGATCCACACCATTGAGCACTTGACCGAACGGCCACCACCGTCTGGCCCGGCTCGTCCACACGCCGCCGATGCGGATCCTCGCCGCATCCACCACGAGCCCCCAGGGCCCCATCGCCGTGCGGCCCCCCCTCCGACGCGCGAGCGTGGTTTCGGCCGGACACGGCCCACTGGCACAACCTAGGTCTCGAGCCTGGCTGGCTGCAGAGACCAAGACGGTAAACCCCAAAGCCCCCACCCCCGCCGCACACAACCGGCAGTCCCAACGGACAGACTACACAAACCACTTTGAGTCTGTTTTTGACAGGGACCGCGGAAGTGCCCTCATATTGCTTGCTGCGCGCAGACCGACTATCCATGACAAGTTACGATGCGTAATGCGCGTTGCCTCCAAATCTGGAGCATGCGCGGGCGCCCCGTAACTACTTTGCATGGCTTTTGACAGGGATGTTCGGGTGCTACTTATGTGTTGGGAGGGCGGTTGGGCGTGAGCGAGACGGCTTGCGCCTTGAGGGCAAGGAGTGTCTTAACCCAGCCCCCCATCCGATCCCCCTGGGTCCGGAGAGGAGGGGCCGGGATGCGTCATAGCGTCCAAGATTGCCCAAGATGGCTCCAGGAGGGCCTCGGAGAGCCCAAGATGACCTCCAAGATGGCTCAAGATAGCGCAAGATCGCTCAAGATGGCTCCCAACGTACTCCAACAAGCTCCAAGACCGAACCAAGACTGGCCCAAGAAGGCTCGGGGCCTCCCAAGAATGCCCCCAAGAGGCCAACAACCTTCAAACGCCTCAGGATAATCGTTGAGCATAGCCTTCTCGCCCATTCGCTTCCGTTGACCTTCCGAGGCCTCGAGAGAGGCAACCCTGATCCGCGCCGCCCCATCTTCTTCTCTTCCCCACACATCCTCAGCATCCTTCTCATCCTCTTCCTCCTCATCCTCATCCTCCCGCCCAGGGTTCACCAGGAGTTGGATGAGAACGTGCGCCATCAAACTACTCGTTCATGTGCTCGCCGTCCTCTTCCTCCTCCTCCTCCTCCTCCTCCTCCTCCTCCTCCTCTTCCCTCTCCTTCTCCTCCCTCATCCTTCCTCCTGCTTCTCCTCCTCTTCCTCCTCCTCTTCATCCTCCCGCCTCATCCTCGTCCTCCACCCTTCCTCCAGGTTCTGCTCAAGATGATTCAACACTTCGATGTGACCGGGTTTCCAAGCTCTCTGTTCCACTGCATGCTCCCCCGCTTCCCTGATCAAGGCAGCTTGCCTGGGGACGACGAGGACCACCACCACGGCGGCGACCACGACGGCGACGACGACAACCCACTGCCTCCAGTGGTCTGGGGAATTACCCTGGGGCCCCGGGAGGCCAACGAGGCCCGAGAAAGAGCTGAGAACACCCTCGACCCTCGACCACCCTCGACCACAATCGACCCTGGGACGTTCTGAGCCATCCCCGACCCTGGACGCCCGACCCTCGACGACCCTCGACCCCAGGCATCCGACGATCTGGCTCTATAGATCCCGCTGCTCCAGAGGTCTCGGCCCACTCCCCAGGAGCAGCTGTTCCTCCCGCGTCTCTCGGGTCGGGCGAAAGGGGGGGATAGCAAAGGGGGGGTTTGAGAATCAGCTCACGTAGCTGATTTTCCCGGCGCCTCCCGGCGCCGGGAGGCGCCCATGTATCGAGGAATGGGCCCCTCGGTCGGGCCGAAACCAGCTGCATGCAGCAGATTTCGTAACCCCCCCTTTCCCAAACCCCCCCTTTCGCCCGACCCGAGTCTCTGGCGCACGCTAACATGGATGATGGATCCGTGGATCTGGCGCGTAGGCACCAAATCCACGGATCGGGAGGGTAATTACCACCCGAAAAATCCTCCCGCGTCTCTGGCGCACGCTAACATGGATGATGGATCCGTGGATCTGGCGCGTAGGCACCAAATCCACGGATCGGGAGTGCAATTACCGCCCGAAGAATGACGCCAAGGCCGCCCCGTGCGGCGACGGAGCGCGCCGAGTTCTTCCTAGAAACAAGGCCCATCCCTGGTCCACATTGCCTTAAACCACGCTTGCACCTCTCGGGGATGGACAAACCCTCCTTTAGTAAAACGTGGTTTAGTGAAAACGACCTCAGGCCCAAACCTGGCGGGCGCAAGCCTGGAAAATAACGGCCACGGCGCCCTCTCGAGAACCGAAAACGGACAATTCACTAATCGACGTGTCACTGTTGGGGGTTCTGTCCATCCCCGAACCTCCTCACTCTTCGAGTATCAGAATTTGATGGCCCCGGGACGCGATATCTGGCTCCAGAGGCCGAACCGCTGGGGTGCAAACAAAAACATGGCCGGACATCTGGGCGTTCACACTGTAACTCGGGCCTGCAGCTGGGAAGCATCCCGAGGCGATACAACCTGCAGGAGCCGACGAGAACCCTGATCCTCGACCATCTCCGCCCACGACCCCTGAAATCCGACGCTGATAAACATTGCAGCGGCGCGAAAAAGTCCGGCCTGAGCCCTAGGCCCCGTCTTCCTCCGGCAACTTGCAAGCTGGACAGGTACGTGATGGTCCTGAGGCCCGACGCCGGGCGAACACGATCCGTGTGGAAGAACAACGCCCAGATTGACGAACAAACAACACACACCCATACCCATAAGGGGGTCGTTGGGAGGAGGACTGGCTATGGGTATAGGTGCGGGTTGTCGGACCCTAGGGAACGCTCCCGTTCGAGCGGGGACCCCCGTCCGACAACACGCACCCATAGCCCTTTCCGACCCCCCCCTATGGGTATGGGTGTGTGCTGTCGGTTCGTCACAGATCCGTGGGATCCTCGACCCTTGGGTAGGAAGGCACCAACTATACACCAACACCGATCCTGGCCAGGATCACCCTGGGCCCAGGATCGGTGTATACGCCCTCCTGCCTTGGGCAAGAAGGCATATGCACCGATCATGGGCCCAGGGTGATCCTGGGCCAGGATCGGTGTTGGTGTATAGTTTCGGGGGGACGTAAGACCTGGGTACGGGGGACTCGGAAATCCCCGACGAGGTCGTCGAAAAAATGACGAGGCCGAGCCTGCATTTTGACGAGGCCTCCCGCTGCAGACATCCCACGAAACTCCTCCTCGTCAAAATCCGAGGCGCGGTCGTCAAAAAACGATGGCGAACCCGAGTCCCGGCAAACCCGGGTCTTACGCTCCCCCGACAGTTGGTGCCCTCCGATTGGGGCCACCGATCGGAAGCCGGGTCGAGCGAAGCGGCGGCGGCAGCTGCCGCGCGGGAGGCGGCCGCCTGCAGCAGCCGGACCCGCCGGAGGTCGGCCGCCTCCTGCGCCGGAGGGGCTGCCAAGAAGGCGGCCCTGAAGCCCACGGCCCTCTCGGCAAGCCTCTCTTCGGCTGCACGCAAGAGCGACGCGCTCCCAAGCGCTCCCAGGAGCTCCCTGGCGATCCCAGGCGCTCCCAGGCGCTCCCAGGTGCTCCAGGCGCGGTCCCAGGCGCTCCAAGGCGCTTCCAGGCGTTTCCAGGCGTTTCCAGGCGCTCCTTCGCGCTCCCAGGCGCTCCCAGGCGCTCCCGGCCCTGGGCAGGAGTGACGTTTGGGGAGCGGGGGATCTGGGGGCACCGGGGGGGACCTTCTGGTGACCTACAAGGGGCACAGGGGGGGATCCGTCCGGGCCGAGACCAAAGGCCACTCCGGAATACGGGCGCTCTGAGGTGTAGCGGATGTCTCGCCCCCAGATATATCCGAAAATCTGACGTTTTCAATTCGGACATTTGTCATCGATTTCGGCCTGTGAAGACGAAAAAAATGGACCCGGGACGAGAAAATACCTCCGGGGAAGCGGTCGGGACTCTGGAACCGCGCGTTGAAACAACATGTTTTGTTTGGTTATTTCTTCATGAGCGCCAGACGGGGAGTATGAAAATTGCCTCCCACTGAGGGAAAAGGGACTCCACCATGCGAAGCGTAACCCGCAACCCCCGAGCATTGCCGGAGGGGGCACTCGCACAGAAAACCCTCACGAGCCTAGCGGCATGAATCAGGGCCGCCCACCCAGCGAGAGGGGGCCAAGTCAGACGGGCGAGCACGAAGCGCCGAGATTGCCAGCGCAGCGCCGAAGAGCACGGGAATGGAGGACCCCGCACTCCGTTCCTAGCATTTTCCCCTCCTTGCTGCTACTACCTGGCGCCTTGCAGGAGTGCGACGACAGCACCTTGTTCAAGCTGTCGCGCAAAGGCAGAGGCAGCAGCGATCGAACGAGCTCTCGCCCGAATCAGACGCGATGCGCGGGGGCAAACGGGAAAACCGCTAGGATGAGGCTGGTTGAAAGCATTCATACTTACCTATACGGCAATCCCAACATTAAAAACAGTTGTGCGAGAGATGCTGGCGGATTTCCAAAAATCCAAAAAGTTAACCTCTCCAGTGGCCCTCGGGGAGATGGGAAAGGAGAGCCATCACTTCAGGTTACAAAGAAGGGGCATCGAATATAGCGTTGGAGAATATCGCCGCCCATCGCGGAGCAGCCGAAGAGACAATTCTGGGCGCCTCATCTGCCTCTCGAAGTCGCATTCCAACAGTTCGAAATGGTCTCGAAGGTGGAGGTGAGTATGAACCGCGGGAGGTCTCGATCAATGAAGCCCATTCTCATGAGCTGCCGATCCAATATCTGCTCGGACCACTATGGTAGAAGTGCTGGAGACGAGTAAGGGCAGCTCGACGACAGCAGCTGGGAGACTTGTGGCGCTCATACAACCTCACAGCCGTTGTGGTGGTGGTGGTGGTCACTGCATAAGGGAAACAAAATCCCGAACGGAGCAACACGCACCACGACGACGCCGACGACGACGACGACGACGACGGAGACGAGGCGCGCTTACGATCCGCACCGAAGCACGGATTTGGGAAAAGGCCCACCCTGCACGTTCGGATAAACAGCACATCGTTGAGCGGTGCTGCAGCCTCCCGTGAGCACAGGCCCCCCCAGAGCATCAGCCAGACAAGTCGGGTTTGCACCCTCATGCCTTGCTGGACTCTGGGCACGTTTCGGCACTCTCTCCCCCAACCTCGTCAGGGCCACCGACAAGGGAGAGGGCGGCGGTGGCCGACGCGTCCCCGAGCTAAGAAGCTCAAAGCGCCGCGGCTCAGATAGCCGGGAAGACAGACATACAGACAGACGGACGGACGGACAGCTAGGCGGCGCGCAATGCCTGGCAAGCCAAGTGGGTGGTCACTGCATAAGGGAAACAGAATCCCGAGCAGAGCAACACGCACCACGACCACGACGACGCCGACGACGACGACGACGACGACGGAGACGAGGCGAGCTTACGATCCGCACCGAAGCACGGATTTGGGAAAGGGCCCACCCTGCAGGTTCGGATAAACAGCACATCGTTGAGCGGTGCTGCAGCCTCCCCTGAGCACAGGCCCCCCCAGAGCATCAGCCAGACAAGTCGGGTTTGCACCCTCATGCCTTGCTGGGCTCTGGGCACGTTTCGGCACCCTCTCCCCCAACCTCGTCAGGGCCACCGACAAGGGAGAGGGCGGTGGTGGCCGACGCGTCCCCGAGCTAAGAAGCTCAAAACGCCGCGGCTCAGAGAGCCGGGAAGACAGACAGACAGACGGACGGGCGGACAGCCATGCGGCGCGCAATGCCTGGCAAGCCAAGTGGGTGGTCACTGCATAAGGGAAACAGAATCCCGAGCAGAGCAACACGCACCACGACCACGACGACGCCGACGACGACGACGACGAGACGAGGCGCGCTTACGATCCGCACCGAAGCACGGATTTGGGAAAGGGCCCACCCTGCAGGTTCGGATAAACAGCACATCGTTGAGCGGTGCTGCAGCCCCCCCCTGAGCACAGGCCCCCCCGGAGCATCGGCCAGACAAGTCGGGTTTGCACCCTCATGCCTTGCTGGACTCTGGGCACGTTTCGGCACTCTCTCCCCCAACCCCGTCAGGGCCGCCGACAAGGGAGAGGGCGGCGGTGACCGACGCGCCCCCGAGCTAAGAAGCTCAAAGCGCCGCGGCTCCGAGAGCCAGGAAGACAGACAGACAGACGGACGGACGGACAGCCAGGCGGCGTGCAATGCCTGGCAAGCCAAGTGGGCGGTCACTGCATAAGGAAAACAGAATCCCAAGCAGAGCAACACGCACCACGACCACGACGACGCCGACAACGACGACGACGACGACGACGGAGACGAGGCGCGCTTACGATCCGCACCGAAACACGGATTTGGGAAAGGGCCCACCCTGCAGGTTCGGATAAACAGCACAGTTCGAAATGGTCTCGAAGGTGGAGGTGAGTATGAACCGCGGGAGGTCTCGACCACTGAAGCCCATTCTCATGAGCTGCCGATCCAATATCTGCTCGGACCACTACGGTAGAAGTGCTAGAGACGAGTAAGGGCAGCTCGTCGACAGCAGCTGGGGGACTTGTGGCGCTCGTACAACCTCACAGCCGTTGTCTGAAGGTCGACGAGAAGGGGCCCCGACGGGATGCCTGGAACGGTTGCGAGCTCAGCCCGCACTTCCTCGAGGTATGCAGCGATGGAATTATTCCAAAAGGTTGTTCCCGATACGCCACCACCCAGTCGTCCCCCGGCCCTCCTCCGCTTCCCCATCGAAGGCCGTGCGATTGCAGCAGACGCGATGCGCTGCGGCCTTGCAGTGCAAGGCGAATATGCGAACATATTGTGCGAAGGCAAACGCGCTCAAACTGTGCATCAGCACGGGTGCAATGGGATTGTTAGGACCACGTGTTAAACGCCTTGGCATCAGCCTTCAATATCAGAGCAGACGGCAGGGAAACTTTCGCCACGCACGCGCCGCCAGAGAAGCCACATGCCGAAGGTTTCGACGTTCTGGCAGAAGGAGAGGCCGAGCGACCCCAGATGGAAACTGCGCTTGCTAGGAGACATCACTGGCCCCTGCCAGGACAACTCACGAGACCCAACACCAAGAGTAAGGCGAAAGTGCTTCCGATGATCCGAGAGCTTCAGCATCCGACAATCGAGCCCCCCCCCCTTCCTAGAGCCAGCCCGAACATCGACGGGGTCGAAGCGACGAGGGGACATACTTTGCGTTTTCAACGGGTGTATGTGGAGCCCAATGGTTATAGCCTGAACGGGGGGCCCTCGGAGTACCTTGGGACGCGCGCGCGTCAGGGGCAACCGCGGCCAGGTCGTCGGCGAAGCCGAGCAAGGATATCTCAGGATTATACATCGACCCAAAAAAGCCACGAAACAATCGAAAGTACCGGATCAAACGCACCGCGAACAGCGCGCCCGATAGCAGGCATCCCTGCTTAACTCCTCTTTCAACCTAGTAGGAGTGCCCACTGGAGCCCCGAAAATTCACAAAGATGGCGACATCCTGGTACAACTTCACGAATGCTACTCGATACCACTCAGGAGCGCCTATCTTCGCGAGCAAGTGCTCGATTCAGTGGACGTGCAAGACCGGGAAGTCCGTCCTAATGTCGAAGCAGCAAGCGCCACTTTCTCACCCATGCTCAACAGCATTGTGAATCGCCATGGCAGAGTCTACATCTATGACGTGATTGAGTCCTTCGCGGGCAGGCACACACCCCTGCTGGATGCCACGACAGACGTAGGCGGAAGCCTGGGCGATTGGGCAGGCAAGGGCAGCGGCGACAATCTTGTTGTCCGTGTTACTGAGGGTGAAAGGGCGAGGGGCGTCGGCTCTGGCGCCCGGGCCCCCATGTCCTTTTGGCAGAAGAGCCGCGAGTCCTCTGTTGAAAGTGCCATGGACCTCGTCGCCAGCAAGCACGTGCTTGTAAGAGCCGTAAAGAGATGCAGTGAACGCGGCGCCTCCAGCCGTCCATGCTCCGCATTGAATATCATTAGGGCCAGGTGCAGAATCGCGACAACGACGAATGAAATCATCAAGTTGGCCTACAGAGATCCCCCAAGAGGTCGAAGCCGAGACGGTTTGGACGAACGAGTTAAAGACCTGGAGATGCCCAGGGCCCACGACGCGTTTTTCCGCAATCCCCCCAATAGGCCGCCAGGGCCTTGACCGAGCCGCGAGGCGAGGCGCGCTGGGGCCATTGAGGATCAGCAGCAACACTACGAAACTACATCCGACGGCCATGCCGCGCCCACGCAACGGCGAGACCACATAGTCGAGCGACGCGCTGATCTTCGCGTTCGGGGCGAATCGAAAGAGTCGGCCAGCAATTGTTGTTCCTTGCAAATAACACCCTTACAATCAAGAGCCCTCCGAACGGGGCCCTCAGAGAGATCTATCTCATCGCTGGTGCTGCAGAGCTCTTCTCGCAAGCGCACAGATCGCGCC